TATATTTTAAAGAAATTGCAAGAGAATTTTAAACAAAATATAAACTATATAAATTACACACATAAAAAAATAAAATATCTTAATAAATAATGATATTTTTTAATTAAGATTTTCTTAACGTTCTTATTTCGTCATTTAAATTACTTTTTATTTAATATAAAAAATATTTTTCTAATTTATTAATTAAGATTTTGATGTGATTTAAATTAATTAAATTAATTAAGATTCAAACAATTGTCAAATTAAAAAAAATATTTAAAAAAAATGGGTATAACATGAACTAACTCTATCTTTATAACATAAAATCTAGATTAAAATATGAATATTATCTATTTTATATAATTCTTTAAATATTTTAAAAATTTAAACATGATTTTAAACGTAAATATCAAGTAATGATTTTAAAAATAAAATAAAATTATTTATAAAACTAACTTTGTTTTTAAATATAAAATTTATGGATTAAAGTAAGAATATTATCTGTTTTATATAATTTTTTAAATATTTTAGAAATTTAAATATGATTTTAAAAATTAAAACAATATTATTTATAAAACTAGTTTTATTTTTAAATATAAAATTTAATGTTCAAATAAGAACATAATCAACTGTAAAGAAGGTGTGAAATCGAAGAGGGAAGACTAATGAACCATATGTCCTAGCTAGTCAAGTTCAACAAGTGTACTATATAAAAGATATTCATGATTTAATTGACTTGTTGTAGTAAAAACAGAGTCTCGAGACTTATACGATATGCCCGAGGAAGCTATACATGAAGTATGTCAGAAAAATGATGATATTGGCTGTATCTCTTTTACATCTAATTATGTATCAGACAATAAGCATGTGTTATCTTTAAATAAAATTGACTTAGCTTAATCAACGACTAACTGAAATCCAGTGGCTTGTATGTAAGTTAGAAGAAGAAATAGATGTTGAAAGTATTAATTTAATAGACATGAAGAAAGTGAAGATGATGTTGTTAAGAATGACAAGTGATGATAGTTGATTATGATTTTATATTATGGAATATATATATATATATATATATATATATATATATATATATATATTGTTTTAGTTAAAAAATAAGAAGATATTAGATAAAAAAATTTATGATTTGACTTATTTTTTTATTATTATTATATATTAATGCAATATTTTTATTGAATTATATATATATATATATATATATATATATATATATGAATTTATGATAAATTATTATTGATATAAATAAATTAAAATTCTAATAACAAATGATATATTATTATTAATGAATATTTATAATATTATTAGCAAAATATTTTTTTAATATAAAAATAAATAATTCATTTATAATTCCTTTTAGTACAATAAAATTAAATAATAATAGTAATATTAAATTTAAACTTTTTTTTATAATATAAAACATTGGGTATATTAAATTAGTATCAAAATAGTTTTTTAGTAATAAAGTAATAGAAAATAAGTGAATATTTTTTTTATAATTTCAATAAAAACGAAAAAAACAATAAATTGTTAATAAATTTAAATATAAAATATTATAATTTTACATCATTTTTATTATTTCTTTATATTTTATTATATATATATATATATATATATATATATATATATATATATATATATATATAAGTATCACGTTTTTTTATATGTTAAACAAACGTTGAAAAATATATATTCAATATATTAGTTACAAAAATATATAATAAAAAATATTTTGTATTTAAATATTATTTATTGAAGTGCATAATAATATATATATATATATATATATATATATATATATATATATTTTCTTTTTATTGAATATAAACTTTTTCTTTCTCTTTGAATAACCTAATAATATAGAATGTATATCAAAAGATAAATAAGGATTTTATTTTAAAAAGATATTTAAAATATTTTTTTATGATAAACAAATAATTTTTAACTATATTAAATTTATAGTTATTAGTTTTTTTTAAGTTGTTTCATTGTTAATGTAATCAATATAATAATAATGTATTTTTTTATTTACAAAAATCATATAAAAAACTTGAAAGATAAAAAATATTAGGTTGTATGAAATTTTCAGAGAAAATAACAAGTTATTGTTATAACTTACATCATCTTAAAAGTGAATAATTATTGTTATTTATTTAAAAAATAATATAAAAATATTTAATATTTAAATGAGTATTGACAATACTTTAAAAAATGAATTAAAAAAATAATGAAAAAATAATATAGAGATATAAGATATGTCAATAAAAAATATATTTCAATTGAATATATCTACTTTATAGATTATTAGAAAAATTTCTTTATTCCTATTCTAATTAAGTTTACCTAATATAAAAAATTATTATATAAAAAGTCATCATTAATTTTTTTACTTAATTATTCTTTGAAAAAATAATAAAAACCTTTAATAGCACATCTTAACCAATTATTTAAAAATAACATAATTCAATAAAAATTAAAAAGAATTGGATCAAATTAAATAATATGTTTTTATTAAATATAAAATTCAAATAATTTCAATTAATTTAAAATATTATTATTTTTCATCTTATTTATTGGTTAAAAATAAAAATAAGTTAACTTAATCATAATAATAACATTATTAATAATTAATTTTGTCCCAAAAATATGGTTAAAAGTTGAATCCAAAATGTTGTTATTTTTATATTATTTAAATAATTTTAACAATTTTAATATTAAAATTGTTAACTTAATTAAATATAAAAATAAGGTAAAAGATTTTTTTTCTTATTTATTGAAATAAATTTTGAATTTAAGAATTAAAAATAATATGATTTATTAAAGATATAAAACTAAGTTAAACTCAAAACCAAGTATACTTTGGTAATTAGTTTTAAATTTTATAATTGTCAAGGTTTTAAATAACAACATCAATATTTTTAGTTTATTTATTTAAATAATTGATTTTTGTTTATGATATACGTTTTATATATTTTAATGAAATTATAATAATAATTTTTAATTTGATCATCATTTTAAAATAATATATATATATATATATATATATATATATATATGAATTACGTGATAATTTTTAATTTAATCATTAATATGTCAATAATATTAGTGACAAATATATTATTATTGTCAAAAAGATTACATTGATAATTTTTAATTTAATCAATAGTATAATTGTATTTGTAATAAATTTAAAATTTGTTAAAAATAATATATATAGTGATAAATATGTTATTATTGTCACTTTTAATAAGATTATAAAGATAATTTTTAATTTCATCACTAATATAATAATATTTGTGATAAATTAAAAATTTGTTATAAATAATATATATAGTGATAAATTATTTGTCACTAAAATTTTGTCACTAGTAGTGTTTCATTACTGGATTTTATAGGGCTAATGAGGAGCAAATACCTAATCATCCTATGGGGGAGTTTGCACCCTCCCATTAACTCCTCTTATGTGGAAACCCACTACATTAATCCTTTTGATCAAGCGCAAGACCAACCTCCTAGACTTAGGCCACACTCATGTGCCTAACCTACTGCTAGAACTAATTATTCTATAACGAAGAACTTCATGACCCCTCATTTAAATCATATACATCACAAAATGACTGCCCACCATAAAGCCTATAGCTCCTTGAATGACTCATTCTATAGAATGAGTATTCATCAACACCATAATCCATTAGTAGTTTCCTTGCATCTCTCCTAAGCAGTTACAGAAGGCAGTTGCTTGGCTTGGAGATAGTCTAATTTTCCCTAGGGGAGTGGGAGTTGCAGGTGCTGCTAAAGGAAGTAGTAGAGGGAAAAAGGGGAGGATTTGAGAAAAAATAGTATGAGAACTTGAATTCATATATGTACAAAGAATAGGCTGCAAATTGTTTATCAATGAAATCCAATTTCAATAGTTAATCTTATTATGTTTTTCATTATACAACAAATTTTAATTTTTACCAATTTGTTTTCCATAATTGATCTATCATATTCAAAATTTTAATTGAATGAAAAACTAAAATTATATAATATTTACAAAATGTCTATCATCATGAAAACCTTTTTACAAGCTATATTATTGTAGTTCATTCAGTATATTTGTTGAGAGAATTTTAAAAATAAACACAACAACTTAAAATTTTCAAATTCTTTTTTAAGATATACCACAATTGATAAATAATTTTTAAAATAAATATATTAGGTTTAAAATGAAAAAATATATTCATGGATTGACTTAGATTTTAATAATGATGGTAATAAAAATAAGTTTTATTTTTTATTTTTTACTTTTAAGTTGACTAAGATGTATCTTTTTGTTAATTTTTTATTTTAGGATTGATGAGCTATACTAATCTAAAAATTTTCAATTTTAATAGAAAAAATATTATCTTTTCATAAATTTTTTCTATTTAAAAAATTAGTTTTTTTTTATTCTATTTAAAGATCTATAAGATTATAATATAATATTAATAATATTAAATTTACTAGAAATAGGTTAAGTTAATGTAACTATTATGTAATAATAGAAAATATTATAACATTCATGCATTTATTATCACAATAAACACAAAGAAACTCTAATTTTTTTTTTTTGAAAAAAAAAAAGCCAAGTAATGGTGAAATGTAACTGAAAGCACTGCATGAGGCAAAACATGATTATAGCAATAAATCCTGAAAAAGATAACAAAGTTGGGATGTTTAGCTTTGATCACTCACCATGGTGTACCTGAACAATTGAGGTATATTAGTAAATCCTCAATTAAAACTTAACAAATTTGTATGGAATTAAAACTTAACTAATTCTAACTAGAGTAAAAACAAGAAAGAAATCCAAGAAGTTCAGCTAATCATTTTCACAAAGTGACTTCTGTCCAAAAACTCAAAACTAGGGAAAGAAAAGAAAACAATGTAAACATCAGTAGTCAACAATATTTTAAATCCTTTGTCACGGTAATAAACAAAAATAAAACACATAAAATATTAGTTCTATGACAGCACAACATATTATTCTATTTGAATCGTAAGTAATCTTTGAGATACTTGGGTTCTGAAACCCTTCTCTTGGGCCTTTCTCCGTTTACAATTTGCTCATCTAACAACTCTTCAGCCCTTGGACTTTCAGATGTAACAGTTTTTCCATCTTCCTTGGCAGTTAAATCATTCTTCTCTGCTGAAGAAGTAAAGGTTATTGTCTTGATATTATCATTGCCATCTTGAGGTTGGAGAGTTGTTGTCTCTTGTTGAACCAGTGTGTTTGCAGAAACCAATGTGTCCTCCTCAGCAACAGAATGGGCTTCAACGATCTCAGAAGCGGACACCACTCCTCTAACCACACCTCCGACTTCATCATGTTCGACCTCCATCATATCTGGCATAACTACAGCTCTTTCCTCACTGACAGAACTAGATTTGTTAGAATTGTACAGGACAACCCCATAATCATCAGCAACAAGATTAGAGTTATCATATTCAAATTTACCGTCCAAAGATGTAGGCAACTCCACCACTTTCTCAGAAACAAGTCCATCCTCAGCAACATAATGAGTCTGGCATGGTTCTACTATCTCAGAAGTCGGAACCAATACTGTGACCTCATCTCCCACATCCACGATATCCTGCATAACTACACATTTATTAAAAACCATATCTATAATGTCAGTTGACTCTGACACATTCTCATCTTGAAATTCATCATGGTTCAGATTCCTTTGATCCTTGTTTTTATTGGTGTCTGACTTCGTCTCCACAACATTTATCTCATTCACTGGAGATTCTACTATCTCAGAAGCAAGCACAAACTTTGTGGCCTCATTTCCCACTTCCATGATATCCAGCGTAATTATACGTTCATTAGAAACCATGTTTATAAATTCCGTTGATTCTGGCACGTTCACATCTTTCACACATTGGGATTCATCATGATTCAAATTCCTTTGATCCTCACTGTTATTAGTGTCTGACTTTTCCTCCACAACATTTACCTCATCCGCTGCACCATTTACCTCATTCATGGGAGATATTACTATATCAGAAGCAGGCACAAATTTTGTTACCTCATCTCCCACTTCCATGATATCCATGCTTATAATTTTTGATGATTCTGACACATTCTCATCTTCTACATGTTGGAATTCATTATGGTTCAGATTCCTTCCATCCTCTCTGTCATTGGTGTCTGATTTTGCCCCCACAACATTTACCTCATCCCTGGCACCATTTACCTCATTCATGGGAGATATTACTACATCAGAAGCAGGCAGAAACTTTGTTACCTCATCTCCTACTTCCATGATATCTGTTGATTTTGACACATTCTCATCTTCCCCAGGTTGGAATTCATCATGGTTCAGATTCCTTCCATCCTCTCTGTCATTGGTGTCTGATTTTGCCCCCACAACATTTACCTCATCCCTGGCACCATTTACCTCATTCATGGGAGATATTACTACATCAGAAGCAGGCAGAAACTTTGTTACCTCATCTCCTACTTCCATGATATCTGTTGATTCTGACACATTCTCATCTTCCACAGGTTGGAATTCATCATGGTTCCGATTCCTTTGATCCTCACTTTTATTGGTGTCTGATTTTCCCTCCACAACATTTACCTCATCCCTGGCACCATTTACATCATTCCTTGGAGATATTACTAAATCAGAAGCAGGTACAAACTTTGTGACCTCATTCTCCTCATCTTCTAAGGGCTGGGATTCATCAAGGTTCAGATTCCTCTGATCCTCATTTTTATTGGTTTCCGACATAGCCTCTTCAACATTTAACTCATCGATGGCACCATTTACCTCATTTACGGGAGATTCTACTATCTCAGAAGCATAAACAAACTTTGTGACCTCATCTCCAACTTCCATGTCATCCTGCATAATTTTATCTTCATTAGACTCCATGCTTATAATTTCTGTTGATTCTGACACAATCCTATTAGGTTGCGATTCATCATGGTTCGGATTCCTTTCACCCTCATATTTATTGGTTTCCAACTTTGCCTCCACAACATTTATCTCATCCTTGGCACCAGTTACCTCGTTCACTGGACATTTTATCTCAGAAGCAAGCACAAACTTAACCTCATCTGCCACTTCCATGATATCCTCCATTATACATTCTTTGAAAACCATGCTTTTATTTTCCGTTGATTCTGACACATTCCCATCTTCCACAGGTTGAGATTCATCACGGTTTAGATTCCTTTCATCCTCATTTTTATTGGTGTCTGACTTTGCCTCCATGACATTTACCTCATCCCTAGGATCATTTACCTCATGCACTGGAGATTCAACTATCTCAGAAGCAGTCACAAACTTTGTAACCTCATTTGACACTTCCATGATATTCTGCATAATTATATATTCATTGGAAACCAGGCTTCCAATTTCTGTTGGTTTTGACACATTCCCGTCTTTCACAGGTTGGGATTCTTCGAAGTTAAGATGCCTTCTATCTTCATTTTTACTGGTGTCTAGCTCGGACTTTTCATTGCCAACGTCTGAATTTCCGTCCACAACATTTACCTCATCCCTGGCACTATTTACCTCATTCACTGGAGATCCAACATATTCAAGTTTGTTGTGCATGAGAGCTAATCTTGGGCATTTCTGACCCTTGATGAAAAATCTTTTGCACTGATCTGTAGACCTTGTTCCACTCTGCGCAGTCATTTTAAATTCGTCTCCAAATGATGATACAGTTTTGAAAAAGGCTTCCTTCTCCTCATTTATCCACTCAGAAAGGTCCATTTTGTCGCACCTCTTGTGAGAACTGCATTCATCATCAATTTCCCGAGTAACATTGGGAGTCACAGATTGATGGCATTGAGGACTCACATTCAAGCACGGCCTATCCCTGCTAGCTTCTACGGGATCAATTGATTTTGTCATGAAGGAACTTGTAGCTTCAGATGGAAGAGAATCACACAAGCCAACCAACACATCAGCTGCAACACTCTCTTTTTCATCTGGAACAATGCCAAGACTGTTTGAATTTGATCTATGTGCGATACTATCATCACCTGTTGATAAATTTGTAATATCATCTCTTCTCCAAAGGTAAAGCCTTCCCGAAGCTGTTCTTCGATTGCATGATATGCCACGTTTCTTCAGTGGAGCTTCACTCGACTTCTTTTTTGAATCAACTTTCACTTTTAAATTCCTTTTTCTACCTGATGCCCTCAAGCCAGTTTTGGCTGCACACAACTTCTTACTCTTACCACCAGTTTTGGCTACACCCAAATTCTCACTCTTATCAACAGTCGTGGCTGCACACAACGTCTCACTCGTACCACTCCTTCTTTTCTTATCTTTCTCAAAGCAATCAGGCTTATGACTTTTGTAGTAGAATTCAACACAGTCAGCAGTTGTCTTGTGATCAAGGAAAGAAGCAATTTTTCCAAAATCTTTTCCAAAGACTGCAAATTTCTCCAAAAAAGTGTTTCTCTCCTCCGAAGTCCAAGGGTTGATCATGGCCCTTTCCTTCTCCACAGCCAGTGGATCTTCAACCACCCCATTACTAGATTTAAACATTGAAGCCATTTTGTCCTTTTCATCCAAAATCAATGATGGCGTCTTTAAGATGCTTCTCTTAACTTCATTTTGAGATTTTGAAAGCAGTTGGCTTGTAAAGTTTATCATCTCAGATGTTGGAACCAAGCTTAGCTTATTTCCCACTTCAAAAATAGAAAGAAATCTAGTTATTACTGTGACAAAAATCTAAATTCGAATAAAACGGCTAGTGAATCTAAATGTCACGAGTCAGCCTAATAAAAGCAAGTAGGTCATCGCAGATACACTGTAATGACATGACACATTCACTGTTAATAGTGATATTTTCACAACCAAAAACCATATAACTCTTCAAACAATTCACTTTTATTAATATAATAATCTATTGACTGATTTAATAAAAATAAAAATAAAATAAAACTATTATTATAATATTAAAACAGAGTTGTTTATAGAATTATGGATTTAGGTTGTCAAAGTATCATTTTCCATTCTAAAAATCAACCTTCGTCACTTTCCATCATTTCCAATTATTACAAATTTCTAAAATTTTATAGATGAATATAGAGAAAACTTCATAAAAATTCTACTTTAATGAAACTTAATAGAAGAAAGAAAATTATTAGTTTAAAAAACACTAATAATCTTCTCCCTGTGTAAAGAAATCGAAAGCAAATAACTAGTTAACTGATTCATGTAAGGAATGTGTTAAAAATATACAAATTTCTAGAATAATATAAAAAATATACATGTCAACGTTAAAAAAGTTATATAAATAATATATAAATGTATGAAAGTAAAAAAATTCTAAAATTTATCTTAATAATTCCGGACCTAGGAAAAACTAGAATTATCTAAAATAATTAAGACTATTTTAGAGGTGGTGGAACATACCTATAAATAAGCAATGTCACTCTTGTAATAAGTGTGTCAAATTAATTTAAACTCCTCCAATTTCTCTTCTGCTATCAGATTAAATCCTTCTAAACTTTTCATTACAAAACAACAAATCAACATTTCCTATTCTTCCTAAATACTAATAATGGTACCAGAGGTCCATTTGATCATCTATTAGGCATTTATACAATACCCAACTATCTTAAAAAAGTCTTACTATATTTCATATCAATTATAATCAATTACTAATGTCAATTCTTCTTCATATATTCTTATATCTTTCTTCACGAAAGAAAATTAGGACTTTTATAATTAAAATGAAGATATTGTTTTGCTTTCAAGATTTGTGAGAGATTGTAAAAGGTACCTTCATAACTCCTATAAACATTTCTACATTAGTAATGACTTAAAAGAAGGATTTGAAGGACAACAAATAGAAAGGCCATTATATTTCCTACAATAAATCATGGTTGATACAATTTTTCTAAGGATAATGGATGTCACAAGTGTCAAAGAGTCATGAAGCACATTACATTTCAAGGAAGTGTAAAGGTTGCACCATTAAACTTCAAACTCTAATATTTGAGTTTGAGTTATTGAATATGAAGGAGTATGAGATCATTAAATATTACTATACTAAAATAAAAGAGATAGTCAATCAAATGAGAACATGTGGTCAAAATATTCTTGACAAAAAAATTGTCAAGAAAATTCTAATTTCTATTTTCTATAAATATGATGTAATTGTGACAACAATGGAACAAATCAAGGATGTTTCTACATTATTGATGACAGAACTAATAGGCTCTCTTGAAATATGAGTAAAGATTAAGAAGATATAATGAAGATTATGTTGAAAATCTCTTTCAATCAAAGCTCAAATTACAGTCTCGTAATAAAGAAAATTGAAGAAATTTCTAGAAATAAAAAAAAAACTCTATAAGTTTCTCTAAGTTCAGTCAAGAAAAATATCTTCCATGTGACATCTCCAAAATGTCAAGTCACTTGGAGAAAGATTGTTAATATCATGAAAAATTACAATGTCAACATTATAAGAGATTTGGACATGTGGAGAATAACTATTCCAGTAAAAACAGGCATTAAACAAATTTTCCTAAAAAGCACAACCTTCAATAACACCTTTTTTATGCCTACTCGAGACTCCAATGATAAAACAAGAGGAAACTAGTACCTTGATAGCATATGCAGTAGTTACATAGTCAAAAATGAAAACATATTTAGGGGCATTAACAACTTTATCGAAGTGAAAGTGCAATTGAGAAATGGCACCCTAGTGAAGTCAAAAGGAAAAGACATCATTACGATGGAGACAAAGATATGTATGAGAATTATTAAAGTTGTCTTACTCGTTCCCAATCTTAAAGAAAACCCATTAAGCATTAGTTAAATAATGGAGAAAGACTATGTTTTTTTACTTCAAAGGAGATATATTCCAATTTATGATAATAAAAGATGAGAGATAAGAGAAGTTAAAATAGAGAAAAGAAATAGAAGTTTTCCTGTAAGCTTCAAACATAATATTTCCATGAAAATCCAAGTTGATGATTCATGAATTTAGTATTGAAGGTTTGGTCATTTCAACACCTAGGTTTTGAAGTTATTACATTAGAAGAATATGATGAGAGGATTCTCCTACCTAAAAGAGAATAATGAAGCATGTGAAGGATGTCTTCTCGAGAAGCAACATAGATTACCATTTTCAACTGATAAAGCATGGAGAGCAAAAGATTTGTTGAAGTTAATCCATACAAGTATTTGTGGACTGGTGAAAACATTGTCACTAAACAACAATAGGTATTTTATCCTTTTCATCGATGATTTCTCTAAAATGACCTGGGTTTACTTCAGTAAAGAAAAATCATAAGTCTTTCGAATATTCAAGAAGTTCAAGGCTCTCCTTGAAAAATAAAACAAAATACATTTAAAAGTTCCAAGAAGTGATCGAGGAACATAATATAACTCACAAGTTTTATAAGTTATGTGAAAATGAAGGGATAAAAGAACAACTTACAATTGCATATACACCACACAAAAAATGGTGTATTAGAAAGGAAAAATCGCACAATGATGGAGATGACATTATCAATGCTGAAGGATAAAAACTTGTTGAATAATTTTTTGGTAGAATCAATCTACACTACCGTGTACATACTTACTAGATGTCAAATTAAGACAATCCAAGACAAGACTCCAATTAAAGCTTGGAGCAGGCAAAAGCCATAAGTTAAGCACTTAAAAGTTTTCAAATCTATTTGTGACATATATGTGGTAGATCAGAAAAAGACATAAATTAGAAGACAAGACTATACGGTGAATCTTCTTAGGATATAACATACAAACAAAAGACTATAGAGTCTACAACCTGTAGACAAAAAAATTATCATTAGCAGAAATGTTGAATTTGATGAAAATGCTTCTTGAATTTGGAAAGAAGGAAAAATCATGAGAAAGAAGAAGTTCAAGAAGTGGCAAAAGATTCAGGTACGCTTCTTTCCTCTACATAACAACAAGATTTTTCACCAGAATCTACTTCTATGAGAGTAAGATCTTTGGTAGATATATATGAAACATGCAACATGACATTGCTTGAGCTTGAATGCTATGAAGAGGTTGCAAAGCAAGAAGTTTGAATTAAGACAATGGAAAAAGAAATTAAAATAATAAAAAAGAATAATACTTTGGAACTTGTAGATTGCCTACATGGAATAGACGGTATTGGAGGAAAATGAATTTGTAAAACAAAGTTCAATCTTGATGATATCATACAAAAGCACAAGGCTTGGTTGGTAGTGAAGGGTTATTCGAACCAACATGAAATTAACTACAATGAGACATTTATCCCAGTTACTCACCTAGATACAATTATACTTTAATATCTCTTGCAACACAAAAAGGATGAAGCATTAAACAATTTGATGTCAAATTAGCCTTTCTAAATGGTGTACTTGAAGAAGAATATACATGGAACAACTACAAGACTTTATAAGCACATAAAATGAATTCAAAATGTTATGACTAAGAAAAACACTACATGGCTTGAAGTAAACTCCTCGAGCATGGTACAACAAAATTGGTCAGTGCTTTATCGATCAAGAATTTAGGAGGAGCAAGAATGGGTTAACACTATACATCAAGACTCAAGACCAATATCATACTCTCATTGTCTCTCTATATGTAGATGATCTTATCCACATAGGAAACAACATATAGATGACAAAGAAATTTAAAGAAGATATGATGAAAATATTTGAGATAAGTGACCTTGGCTTGATGAATTATTTCATCGGTATAGAGGTATGACAACAAAAAGAATACTTATATTTCAAAAAAATACATTGAGACTCTATCAAAGAAGTTCAAGATATATGTTTGCAAATCTCTAGTTGTTCCACATGTGACAAATGAGAAGTTTACCGAAAGATGCTAGAGTACCGGAAGTTGACCCATCACATTACAAAAGTTTGACTGAAAGCTTACTAAGTATCATAATTTCTACAAGCCTTTTGTCAAGTAAGGATGGAAAAACAAGTCAATATGCTCCATTTTGGTCTGTCCTGCCTCTAACCTATCACAAACAAGGTAGGACGGGCTGACCCGCTATAATTGTGACATCCTAATTTCTTTAATTATTTATTTGCTTAATTTCTTTTAAATTATTATATATTATGTAAACTTTTTATGAGTGGAAATTATATATTAAAAAATGAAAAAGAGAGAGAGAAGAAGGTCTATGGAACCGTGACCTTAATTTTATCACAAAATTGGTCAAAATTTTTGATCGAAAATTTGAGAAGAAATTAAGCTCGGTGGAGAAGGAATGTAAGTCGGTGAGTAAATGTATAAATAAGATGGAATTAGAAACCTACACTAACATAACTCACGACCAATTTGGAGAAAAGAGTGCGAGGCATTTGAGAAGAAAAATTTGAGAGAAAGGAGGAGAGTAAGAAAATAGAAGAAAGAAAAGTTAGAAGATCTTGGAGAAGTCAGGTATGGGTTAGATGTTTAATTTTATTCATACGTATAATATTATAATGACTGATTTTGAAGATTTCTTCATGTTTGAAAAGTTTGAAATTTTGTTGGGATTCTTGAAATTAAGGATGAATTATATAGTAAAATTGTTGTTTTTGAATTAATTTGGATTTGGAATTAGTTTGGGTGTTTGATACTTGAAATTTTGAAATATGGATGTTGGCCATGAATTCCTGGAGGTGAAGGTTGAAGAAAGGGATAAGAGGGAAATTTTTGAAAAAGATCAAGGGTAAAATAGTCATTTCACATCCTAGGTACATAAATGGAATTTTGAAAAAATATTAAGGGTATAATGGTAATTTAATAATAATTTTAGGACATGGAAGGAATAATAGAAAATGTTCAAGGGTATAATGATAATTTAATAATGATTTCGGGACATGGAAGGAATAATAGAAAATGTTCAAGGGTAAAATAGTCATCCTAGGGACATACATAAAATTTTGAAAAAGATTAAGAGTATAATAGTAATTTAATAATGATTTTGGGACGCGAAAGAAATTGTAAAAAAATGCTTCAGGGTATAATTGAAATTTTTAGAAATAAAGTAAAGGTATATTAGGAAAACAATTAAAATACATAATGGAATTAGAAATTTTAGAAATAAGCGCATGGTTAATTCAAATTTAGAGACAGATCAGGAAACAAAAATTTTAAACACTAGAATATTTGTTAGGTGTATATAACATCACATGAAATTGCCTAAATTGATATTGAAATGATGAATATGATGCATACAACATAGCACATAGACATGATGCATAATATAAGTTCCTGAGTCAAAGAAATTTTTTAAAAAAGGAAAACAAATTGTTGAAAAGTTTCTTTTAACTATAATTTACTATCAAAGACATTGGTTGTCTATATAATGGTGACAATGGAAAAGATAGTAATGGAAATATGAAATTCATGTTTGAGCTACTGATGTCATTGATAGTGAATAAGGATGAGTAGAATGAATAAGACAGAACCTTTGGTCTATAGAGGTTGGACCTTGGGTCTAGAGAGTGTTTTGGACATTGGCAATTCCACAAATGATCAGTCTTTATTGATTTTGTGTTGTGGTAGTCTTTCGGGTGTACTAACACTCTGACTACTGTCTAATTATTCGCATTTAATGGGGCATTGCCGAATCACCGAACAGGGTGATGTTAAACTCTAACTTCATTAAACTCTCAAAGGGAAAATCTCCATGGAGTATAGAGTTAAACACATGATTTTAAAGTTTTACATTTTGAGTCACATGTGCACATCATAAACATATTGCATGATTAAATTGTAGATTATTCATGATTGGTATGATATTCTCTATTATGTTTCCATGAGTGATTTATTAGTTATGGATAAAATTAAATATCTAACCCTATAAATATTTCAATCCCAGATATTGGTGACGTGTGATGCAAGAATGTATAATTCAAGAGATAGATGTCAGATGCAAGAAAATCCAGAGCTTAGGTAAAGGATTGTATAATTTATAAGTATAATTTTATGGCTTATAATATTTTGGAAACTGTGTACTAGAACTTGTAGTATGATTTGATATAGAAGTTTATCTAAATTATTTGTTTACTTTGGTATATTTTCTTTTAGCCTTCAATGATATTATAAATAAATTACGAACTTAGATAATAAATTAAGATTAATAAATGTAATCTAGAAAGGGGTTACAATAGTCAGGATGAGTTACATACTACAATTTACCTTCTAAATGACAGATTGATAGAACAATATGTTAATTATAATATATATATATATATATATATATATATATATATATATATATATATTATAATCAATAATTTAAAATCAAGTGATCTATTTTTATAATTTAAATTATAATATTATAGTTATATAATATTTTTTATTTAAATTTTAATATATAAATTTTTTTAAAGTGAAACAACTAGCTCCATCCTTCGCAGGTTAAACTATCAACCAGTCTCGCTATTTTTTAGGCGAATTAGTAGGAGGATTATACATAGACAAAGTTAGGTTCACTTTGGAGAAGAAAAAAAGATTTAAAATGTTTACAAGACACCAAAGAGTGTAGTATATGATACAAAGTCATGACTAACTCTAAGTTAACTAACAGTGATTGGACAAAATTTATAGATAATATAAAAAGTAAGTCAAGTTAAACCTTCTCACTTGCAAGATCACGATGCACAATCAACATCAATGACAAAGTATATTACAATCTACTACAACAACAAGTTTGAACCATTACTATTCATGCTTAAAGTTATAAAAATTTACATAAAAAAATGTTAAAAGATGATACAAAGTTCTAGAATATTCTACAAAATATATATATGACAATCTTGAGAAAATTCTAGAAAACTTTAGATAAGATAATCTATAAATGTATGAAAGGAAAAGATTAGAATTTATCATGATAATTCTAAAATTTAAGAAAAACTATAACTATATAGAATATTGAAGACTATTTTAGAGACAGTAACCTTATGTAATAAATGTGCAAAACTAATATAAACATCTCCACATTTCCCTGCAAGATCTCCCATTATACCTTTCTAAACTCCTCCTTACTAAACAACAAATCAACATTTCCTATTTTTCCTAAAATACTATCAGAAACAAACAGCAAATTAATGTCATATTTTCAGAAGAAAAGCAGCTAGAAAGAATGATAGATATATATTCATACCAGGGAAATGAAAACGGTGACTGGTAGAGGACCGGTTCCTGTGACAACCACTACCGATGGTTCGCAGACTCGACTCAAAATAGCTATGAGATGGTGGCGGGTTTTTTCTCAGAGATCGTAAGAGTGTATCCTTTTTCCATAGGTGATCCAAGGCTTTATATTTAGTCATTAAAACCTTTTCCTTAAATCTACCAAACCACTGTTTCTCTGCAAGCTTTTCTTTCATGACTGCATTTTCATGGGATAGTGAGCTACTGCACATGATCTTGCGACATTTTGTAGGCCAAAAATTGTCAAATACAGCGCATGATCTTTCCACTGTTTCTCTATTGCAAGAAATAATTGTCTTACACAAAGTATCTTCTGCACTCTCATGCAAGTTAGGAGAAAGAGGCCTCTTCTCTGTATTTCCGTCATTAGAGGGGACAACATGCAATGCCTCTGGACTGCGACCAGGTTCAGATTCAGATTGTACTGTCTTCAGTTCATTTTCAAGTGAGACAATTTCTGTTTGAATCTGCTCCAGTGCTGTAGAAACAACAGTTTTCCATATCAGCACCTTTGTCATTGCATTGGATCTTCCTAAACTAGAGCTCAAATCTGCAGACTCTAGAAACTCAACGATAGAGGCAGATAAAATATCGCCCCCATTATTTTCCCCCGTTGCAGTTTTTACACGTAAAATATCAGCCACACCTGCTACAAAGCAAAACCTAATAGTTACTACAAACAAAATGTGCATTTGCATATATAATACATTTACACACTGAATAAATATGATTCAAGAGATATCAGTGTTATATTTGTTATAACTCTATATGATAAGTTAAACCTTCACAAATCTCTAAACAATCAATAATAATAAACCCTTCAACAAGTTAAGTTTCCTTATTATATACAACTTAACACTAATATTTTCATTTGCTTCACCTATCCATATCTAGTACAACTACATATGAGACATAGCAGCATGTATAATAAAAATGGAAAATCTTTTATAAATAGAACATGAAAATTTTCACCTTTAATAATAATTCAATAAATAAATAAAACTGATATTATTTCTATTTATAGATGATAAAAAATAATATAAAAGGTCCAATACACATGTATATATATATATATATATATATATATATATATATATATATATATATATATATATATATATATATATATATATATATATATATATATCAACAAAAATTTATCAGTTTAGTTTCTTCTGTTATAATCATTTTCAGGAAAACGTATCTAAAAAACCCTATTCATTTTTTCTTCTGAGTTTTACTGCTACAAGTGTATATATATCAGCATAAATCAGAAATTTATCTAAGGCTTACAAAAAGCACCAAAGAGAATCCAACAACATACCTGCAAAGGAACTGCATGCAACCAAAGGTGGAGCAGCAACAACAGCCAAAGTTGCACTTACACCTTCAGCCTCAGTTTTCTCTTTCTCAAACTTTGCAAGTCCATCACCCCAATTCAACCTAGGCCTCTTCCTTGCCTCTTCAATCTCATTAGCACCACCTGCTACATTCGCATTCTTCTCCTTTCCCTTTCCGTTGCCTCCAGAATAGAACCTTTCAGCACGGTTCCACTTCTTAACCGGATTCAACATCATAAAACTCTCCTTCTCATAGTTCTTATTATGATCATCATTGTGTTGTTCTCCATAGTTAATCCCTTTCAAGATGTTCATTGAATGTGCATGAGAAGGAGGTGTTGGCACGTCATCAAAGTGTCTCTTTTTAACATTTTCCCAGAACTGGGGTCTAGGGTCCCTGGAAGCTCTGGTATTTCTGCCATAGGAGCCAGATCCAGACTCATCACCACCACCCGGTGCTCTGGTACCTATACAGAAAAAAAAAAATGTAAGCCAATGTTAAAAAGAAATAGAAAAAAAAAATCTATACACAATATTTTCATACTCAGAAGCAGAAAAATATGTGTTATCACATACTAAGCAATTCACTCTTTTCAATAAGATTTTCAACTGGAGAGTTGAATATGCTTTTTGAATTTGTTTTAGCATGTGTAATTTTTATTTATGTTATGTATGTGTATGAAAAAATTTAATTTAATATTGATAATAACTAAATACTCATATTTACCTATGTATACATTGTAAATCAACAATAATCTCCCTTTTCATGTACTTATATATCTTTACCCTTAATCATTACTTGCACCCTATTAAATATAAAACTTATAAATCCATATAAAGCAAATATTACATGATATTACAACACTTGAACTAAATTATAAATGATTAAAAATCTTAATTTCTTTCATAATTTGGAGAATATAAAAAAATTAACAAATAAATGTTTTGTCAAACAAAGTATGCAGTTTTTTTATAACTGATTGTACTCTATTTATCTAAAGGGATGGTACTTATATAGAATTGGCAATTAGGTTGCTATTCTAATCATTTTCAAGATATCTGAATTGTTATTATTTAATAATTATCTAGAAAAGATATTTTGATTCCCGTCACACACATTCACTAAAGATTTTAACATGTGATAATCACCTATTACTCAAAGAACAAAATGAAAGGGTAGATCCAAATTAACGAGCATCTAAAAAAAACCAACAATACCTAGGACACTCATCCATGAAACATTAACCTCAAGTTGGGATCAAAACTATATCTTTTACATATACCTAAGTAAACCTAATTATTTCTAAGAAACATTATCAAACATTATCTTGGACAATAAACATACGAGAAAGCTTAAACTTTAATTGGAACTTGATTTAATATATAAAAATTGATGATACAAGATATTCTCAAAATAATAATAGATATTATTAGGTAAAATAAGTTATTCTAACTAAGGAGAGTTTCCATAATTTGTGCGACCATTGCCTCTGTCGAATCCAAGGAATCGTAGGGACCAACTTCATTTAACATCTCAACAACAAAAGGGTAAAAACCCCTATTCACTTTTCCTGTAGACATGTTCACATGTCACAGGGAATTCACTCGAAGGGCATTAGTAGATATATGATCTACTTTGAAGGGTCCATTATTGCTTTGGATAATTAAGATTGGCCTTACAGAAAGTGGTGGATGATGCATTACTTGTGGATTTGCTAGATTTTATGAATATGTAATGAACTTAAAATGATTCACATGATTTTATTTTAAATTATATTTATCTATTTATTTAAAATAGACTTGAATTAATGTGACTGGTTAATGTATACTTAAATTTTACAATTGTGTTAACAATCTAATAAATTTAATTAACCTAATAATATGAACAAATTCATATGTATACCGTATATTTCTTCTTATTCTTCTATTTCACGTAAATGTATGCGAACCCTAACAATGGCTACAAACAGTACCAAAGAGAATCTAACAATGTACCTGACAAGGAACTGTAGCCAACAGAAGTTGGAGTAGCAGCAGAAGAAGCTGCGCTGACGCTATCATTCTCAGATTTATTTTTCTGAAGCTTAGCAAGTCCCTCACCCCAATTCAACCTGGGTCTCCTCCTTGTTTCTTCAACCTTATTCATGTTCTTGTCCACACCTTTTCCTACACTTCCTGAACATGAGTCATGGCTACTGTCCTTAAGAAATTGGTTCCTAGCACCATCACCACCACCACCTTGTATTTTGCGACCTATACAGAAAAATCAAATTAACATGTCAGCCACAGGTAAAACCAAAAGGAAAAAATATATATATACAAGTAAAGTTTGCTCTTGAAATTGCTTTAACAGGTTTAAATTTATATATATATATATATATATATATATATATATATATATATATATATATATATATATATATATATATATATTATGTGATGACTGAAATAAATGACATTTAATATTAGTAAAAAAAATTAAATTTAACAATTTGCATTTATTACACTTTTGACTTTCTACAATAAGATAAATTGATTGATAGTCTGCTATCTATTACAATCAACTTCATATTATTTAAAAAAAAAAAAACTCATTTGTTCTCATGTAGCATCTATATTCGGACTTTTTTTTTTTCAAATAAACATTTTGATAGAAAAAAAAATTAATCTAAATCAAAGTTTCATCAACTTTTTAGGACCTATGGAGAATTGAATTTTGAGCTTCCTTTATTATTTTTTTAATAATATATAATATATAAAAAAAATTATTTATATAATATATTTATAATTAAATTTTAAATAAATAATTTCAAAATTTAATCACTTTTACAATTTAATTAATTAAAAATTATTAATATTATATATATATATATATATATTTAATTAATTTTAAAAATTTAGTTATTTTCTATAATTTTCTTGTAAAAATTTATATAAATTTGTAGGAAACTTATTTCTTGTAATTTTTATAAAGAATTTACAAAAATGTTCCAATTAGATTTTCTAGTGTATTACAATTTTATTTTTTAAATTTAGTTTATAAAAATAACATAATATTAATTATTGTGTAAAATTGAAATTAAAATATTAGAGAAACCAAATTATTAAATTTTAATTTTTATACATAATCTTGAAAGAAGTTTTAATGTAAAATATATAATTGAAAAAGAATTGAGATTTTATCATGTAGAGCTTTTTTGGTTGTTTTATATTAATTTTATATTGTAATATTCACAAAGTATACAACGTATCATTTAGGTTAATTTACTTGTTTGAAAATGTTTGTATATTAGGTCATAAATAACGTATAAAAGCTAAAAAAGAAAAATCATATAAGACTGTTCTTGGAGCTAATTTGTCTCATCTTAATTATTTTTTATTTCATTTATATTATTAAATATAATATTGTTTACGAATCTACAGTATTTATGTAAAATATAGTATTTAAAAACAAAGAAAATAAGAATTGAATTAGTTAAATAGTACTTAATAAATAGAGAAAGATGAAATATAACATTTTTTTCTGTGGTCTGAAACTAAATATAGAAATATATTTATAAATAACATTTAAATTTATTATACTTATAAATTATTTCTTAGAAAATAATTAATATACTATTTTGATAATGTTATTTCTTAATAGATATATATATATATATATATATATATATATATATATATTAAGAAATATCGTTTAAAAATATAGGAATAGAATTTGGTTTATGAACGAAAATAATATATAAAAATATTAATTGTAATATTACAATTTAATAAATTATAAGTTATTCAACAGTTAAATTTGTTTTTTTTTCTCAAAATGAATAGAATGATAAAGAACAAGCCAAAAGTAGCTTTGAAATGGTTTATGATTTTACAATTAAGAGAGAGAAATGGAAAACAAAAGTGAAATATGATTGAGAGAGAAAATGGTGTGAAAATTATTATCTTTTTGAAACTTGAACTAATGGACAGTTAAGAAAATAAATTTTATAATAATTATTGCATTTGGTGTCTTAATTATATTTAGAAAATAATTTAATTGTTCACATATATTTATTGCTTAGATATTAATGTAACACTTAACGGAATTAAATAATATTTTGTAAATATTTTTCTTCAATAAAATTATATTTTTTAGTTAATAAATATAGCATATTTATTAAATACTAAATAAAATATAGTTATATCAAATGCATAACTTTTCATTAAAATCCAAATGCAGTAAATTGAATTGTATTTTTATTTCACAAAATAATAAAAAGTAATGATTATATAAGTATGCGGTTAAACATGAAATTATTCATATTTTATTTATTTAAGTAAAATAGACATAAACTAATATATAAATTTTAATTATATTAACAAATACACAGTCTGATGTAAAAGAAAAAAATACATTTTTTTTATCTAATCATTTTAACGAATTTAGTTATATTAAACTAGTTTAATAATGTTAAAAAAAATGAAACTATTTGTTAATACAACACTGTTTATATAATTAAAATTAACGTCAGCATACAAATTTTACTTTTGGTTATTAGAAAGATAAAATATATTCAAAAATGTATGTATTTAGTTATTATTGTTCTTAAAATATATTTTAAAGTATACAATTAAAACAGAAAAAGAAAATTAATAAAAAAATAATGCAGTTTATAATTCTGTATTAATATAATAATTGTGTAAATATATTTTTTTCTATAATATTAACTATTAAGTTATATATTAAGTATATTACATAATTAATTTATTATATATCAACTACTAGTCTTAAACAAATAAACAAAATCTTGATGTTTATTACTTAAAACATAACAATAACAATAATAATTTAATTTTACACAATTATTAAACATTTTATAGATGTTGTAATAATATCTTATGTATTTAATAATTTTAAATTAAAATAAAAGTGTGATGACACTTTTAAAATTTGTATTTTAATGGGTTACATCCAGAAAACTAACCAGTAAATTGATGTTGTCTGGGAGGAAATTCATTCCTCTCTTGCTTCTTCTCCTGGTAGAAACTTTTATGTTCCCATTTCACTCTTAGAGACATGGAAAACAAGTATATCTGAGTACCAAAAATTGTGTTCACAACTACAATTTCATCACACCAAATTAAAATATTAGATGCAAACCACACCAAATTATACCATAAACTCAAACAATGTTCTAATGGCTCAAACCTTGAAGATTTGGATACAACAATAACAACCTTGAAATTCTTAGAGTGCTCAATTTGTTTATCTAAATTTTGATTTTTTTTTGTTTGAAAATATTGTAGAGAGTGAAATTAAAATAAATGGACAAAGAGTTAATTGAGAAAGAGAAATAGGAGACAAAGAGTTCATAGAGAAATGAAAATGAGGGTTAAAGATCTCACCTTGAGGGAGAAGAGAGATAAATAAAAGAAGGAGAGATAGAAAAATAAGAGAAAAAAAATATTCACTTGAAAGTGAGAACTATAAATAAAAGACAAAGGACTCATTTAGTGTGAAAATGAAACTGAAATAAGTATTATAAAAAGATAAGGAAGGAAAAAGTTATTGTGGACCACCTTTACAGATTGTCAGATGCATCAACTTTTCCCAATATTCCGAGTCTTATATTCAACAGACAACAGTAGCTTATTCCAAAATGCAGCAATGTGTTTGCCTCAGACATTAAATTACAAACTAAAAATAAGAACTTGATTTCAAAAATTAAACTTTAAACTTTAAATAAATAATTAGTTGTTTAAAGTAACTTTCCATTAAACAAATTCTATTTGGGATAATAAGTGCTTAAACTTTTGTGATAATTGTTTTATAAAGCAACTTACTACAAAAATAAGTGAATCAAAATAAACCAAGAAAAAGAAAGGATTTTAAAAAATTTAGTAAATTTTTTTTTAATGTAATAAAATAAAAAGTGAGTTGTTTAAAAATGATGTTGCTTCATAAATCTCTATTTTATATTTTTTAAGATAAAAAGGTCATTAAATTACTTTTATTAAAAATGTTTTTAAAAAATTTCTTAAAAATTTTAAAGAACTTATTCTCTCTCCTATTATTTATTCTTACTAAATTTAAGCATTTGTTATGTAGATAAGATTGATCCGATGGAAAATTATTTTAAACAACTAATATTTTATTATTAAGCATCTCAATAAACAATTTTCATCTAACCTAAAAAAGGAAAATTAGTGATAAATGTCTCACCTTGAAAAAAAGAAATAAAAGACACAAATAAAAATAATATATATTAGAGATGTTTTTTTTTAATTTACTTATTTTATTTTCTCCCTCTACCTTTTAAATATATTCATTTTTTTCATTAATTATATATCATATATTTTTTTCATAATTTTATTCTTTTTAATATATATATATATATATATATATATATATATCATAATAATTATTTTTTTAAATTATAACATTTTTATTTTTCTTTCCGATGACAATGAAAAAGAAATTAGAAAAATAATTATTTTATATATAATTATTGTTAATAAGAAAAATTAATACTCACCTTTAAAAAAAAGAGAAAAAAAAGTCAAAAGAGTTCACTCTAAAGCAAAAGACTCAGAAAATATTAGAAAGGATTAATTTCGTTGTGGACCACCTTATGAGGTTTAATGTCCTACCGTTTCTTTCACCACATGGGCAAATGTTTAATTTAATTTTATAAAAAAATTAATATTTCAAAAATGTATAATTAAAAAAAATTAATTATTAAGATTTCAACGTATTTGATGGAGTAGTCTAAAACATATCACATTTATGATATAGATAAGATACAACTTCTAACATTAATAAAATAAATTTTAATATCATATTAAAAATAAAAAAATGTTATTTAATTCTATAAAATCGAGATATTAGAAATAAATAAGTGTTTTGTGTTGTTAAACATTGCTCTTGTTCTTAAGAAGATAAGTTTTTATTTTTTTCAAAGTTGAGTTGGTTGTAGAGGAACTGTGTTTAAGAATGAAGTGAGTATTAGTGATGGTAGAAGCATTGTAAAACCCTAGCAATTGTATTATTTTCTTTTAATTGTTATTTAATATATATATATATATATATATATATATATATATATATATATATACACTACAAGAAAAAACACATTTAGCCACCGAAATTAGCGACCGAATTTTTTCGGTTGCAATTAGCGTCCGATTTAGCGATCGATTTAATTTTAGTCGTATTTAGAGACCGATTTAGCGACCACTTTAATTCCGTTGCAATTAGCGACCGATTTAGCGACCAAAATATGATTTGGTTTTCACTTTTTTATTTAGCGACTGAAATAGCGACCAATTTTTGTGCGTCGCAAATTTTCAGTCGTTAAATCGGTGGCTATTTCATACATAAATAAAAAAATCATTTAGCGACTGATTTAGCGACCGAATTACAAATTGAAATAGTGACCGAATTAAAATCGCTCACTAATGAGAAAATAATCCATGATTATATCTGATTTTTGCAATATCGCTCAAGCGAAAGTAACATCGCTCGAGCGACACCACCTGCACAAAATTGGCATTTTTAGGTTGTATTTCGCTTGAGCGAAACTATTCTCGCTCGAGCGACATCCGATTCAAACATGAGGCACCCAGGTTACATTATCCGGCTAACTTTGATCGACGTTTACGCAGGTCAACATTCGCTCAAGCGAAAGTAACATCGCTCGAGCGACGCCACCTGCACAAAATTGGCATTCTCGGGTTGTATTTCGCTTGAGCGACACTATTCTTGCTCGAGCGACATCCGATTCAAACATGAGGCACCCAGGTTACATTATCCGGCTAACTTTGATCGACGTTTACGCAGGTCAACATTCGCTCAAGCGAAAGTAACATTGCTCGAGCGACGCCACCTGTGGAACCGCTATCATATAATAACATTCACTCAAGCGAAAGTAACGTTTACGCAGGTCAACATTCGCTCAAGCGAAAGTAACATTCGCTCAAGCGAAAGTAACATTCGCTCAAGCGAATGTAACATATAATAGCGGTTCCAGTGGAACCGCTATCATATACAACCAGATTTTTTGATTTGATCGATTAGATTTTCGAAATGATCGATCATATTTGATAATTTTTCAAATAATTAATTATAATCGATTAGTTTTCTAAATTATTGATTAGAATTGATTAGTTTTTCAAATAATAGATTAGAATTGATTAATTTCAAAATATATACTAAAAAATTATAATTAAAAATATAAATTATTTAAGAATATTGACTATTATAAAGATAAAGTAGAACATGAGAGGAGATGAGGATGATAATATAATGATAGAACTTAAAAAAATGTAGAATTGAGAAGTTTGAAACAAATAAAATTAAGAAAATAGAGATTTAATTACACTTTTAATAAATTTAAGATAATACTAGTTTTGATTTTTATTTTTAAATATTTATTTTAATTATTTAAAACAGAGAAACTATAATATTAGTTTCTAAATACTAAATTTAAAGAATTAAATTTATTATTATTTAATCTTTTAATTTTAGTATTAAAAATTTTAATTATATTTTATTAAATTAAAATAATTACAATATATTTTTCTACTTTGAGAATGAACAATATAATTAAACTCAAAATTGACAATATTATAATACATTTTTGAACTCTTTTGGATTATTTTTTTTCCTAATTTTTGATAAAGTTAATTTTAATATTTAAAAGTATTTAACATTTTGAATTTTGAAAGGTTTTCTCTAATAGCAAATTTAAAAACATAATATTCAAAAAAATAGTTAATGTAAGTTTTCATTATGATCGATTATAATTAGAAATGATCGATCATAATTGAGAAGATATAATAGCGGTTCTACGTTAACCGCTATCTAAAGTATATTTTAGATAGCGGTTGAGGGTTAACCGCTATTAGAAGTGCCCATTTAATAGCGGTTCCAGTGGAACCGCTATCATATACAACCAGATTTTAAGATTGTGAAGTCTCGGGTTGTATTTCGCTTGAGCGACACTATACTCGCTCGAGCGACATCCGATTCAAACATGAGGTCACCCATGTTACATTATCCGGCTAACTTTGATCGACGGTTAGCAGGTCAACATTCGCTCAAGCGAAAACAACATCGCTCGAGCGACGCCACCTGCACAAAATTGGCATTCTCGGGTTGTATTTCGCTTGAGCGACATGGTCTCGCTCGAGCGACACCACCTGCACAAAATTGGCATTCTCGGGTTGTTTTTCGCTTGAGCGACACTGATCTCGCTCGAGTGACATCCACATTTTTTGATTATGATCGATTACATTTTCAAATGATCGATCATATTTGAAAATATATAATAACGGTTAATATTTAACCGCTATTAGAAGTGCTATATAATAGCGGTTAAGATTTAACCGCTATTAGAAGTGATATTATAATAGCGGTTAAGATTTAACCGCTATCATATACTACCACATTTTTCACTTTCGTATCTCATGCCACTTATCCCCAAATAACCCTAACTCTCGCGCCTCACTCACCCATTCCTCTTAACCTTGGCCAGTATCTCCTCCTCACTCCCGGCGAGCCCTAGCCCCCTCACTGCTCCCCCCAAGTCAGCCCTCACCCTAATCCAACCTCCACCAAAGCTCCTCGTCAATCGGACGCCACCACAGTGAGCCACCGCGCCACACCTCCGTTCTTAACCTCCTCTGCAGCCTCTCGACACCCTCAACCAAGGTTTGGCTTGTTTGAATGTATATCTTGTTATTCTCTTGCATTGTGAATAATATAGGAGAGATAATTTTGACGGAATTTCTTTATCATTTGTTGTAGGTGGATTTGTGAAGTAGATAGGTTCTTCGATCCCTCTTCATTGCGATTTGGTGGTGCTTGACGAGACCAATTTGGGAACTTGTTGAGACTATACGCCCTCGGGTTAACCATTTGTAATTTGTTTTAATTATCTCGTTGGATCTTAGTGAAAAGAAATTTCATAATTATTGGGTTTACTTATACAATTATTTGGTGGTCCGTATCATACGTACTTGCATAAGTAGTGGATAAATACCTTGGAAAAAATGTATTAGAAAAACGTAAGTACTTGCATCACATGAAGTGAATAATGCAGTTTCACTTATGCTGATTGTTGTAGTTAATTTGCAAGAATAGAAAAACATAAGTAGTGCATCACATAAAGTGAATAATGCAGTTTCACTTATGCTGATTGTTGTAGTTAATTTGCAAGAATAGAAAAACATAAGTAGTGCATCACATAAAGTGAATAATGCGGTTTCACTTATGCTAATTATAATTCTTTAATATGAAATTTCTTAATAATATCAATCCCACAATATGTTTCAACACGGGTTTATACCGACAAATGGTCCTCCCTGCTATAATCTCTAGAATCATCAAACAAAAATTTGATGAACCAAGTCCCACTTGGAGAAAGGTTTCACTTGAGCTTCAAGATAGATGGTTTGGAGAGTTCAAGGTAATTTGAATTATAGTTACATTAAACAATGTCATTTCATTCTTATAAATTAAATGTTTGTTGTGTATTTTATTTATGCAGAAAGAGTATATATGGGATGTGGAACAAGAGCACGCCATAAGATCTGTTTTTGATAAGAAAGGTTCTCGAATTTTA